TCTACAAAAGTTCTTACCGTCATTGTGGCAGTTATGCATTTAAGCTTTTTGCCCTGCTCCCCAGATCGCTTTGCAAACACTCTCGTCAAACTTTCAGAAAGAAGGTCCAGCTGTGACAGAAATCGTGACTGTAGAGGCATGCTTGTGATGCCTTTGAACTCTGCATTTATTTGAAGGACACAACGTTTAGTTAGTAGCACAGCCCACAGACTTTAAAAGACATTTGTAACATTAAAACCACACTTGCCTGCCATATGATTGCATTTACTGTGCATAGTTTGTCATTAGTAGTCTGCGATCCAAACATTCTGGAGACACATCCCAAAAAAGGTGAAACATTACCATTCAGGGTTTCCCCCAGCGCTTTACAAACCTGGCAGGCTTTGCTTTGACCCCCACACAACGAATGGTACAGAAAACGACCTGTGTACTACACGGTCTGCCGGGCTTAAGCCTAATTTATGCTTCTCCATCCGCGTCGGGACGGACGCACGCAACTTCATCATCAGTCTTTTCTAGGGCTCCCCAGCTGGCTCGCAAGGACGGACGGAGTCGAGCTCTTTCTAAACACCTGTACATTGAGGCAGAGAACACAAGCTTGTGATTGATCTAGACGTTGTTGTCGTCAACAGCGCTGCCATTGCACCCTCAAAAACATAGAGAGCTGAGGATATTTAGCAGCAGACACGGAGCAGATTGAAGAAACCCTCTCGGAAAAATTATATAAATATGAAAGTTTTATTCTCCCGTGCCTGGAAGAGTGAAAAGATGCGCAGCAAGCATTTTATTTGTGGACGGAAATGACCGGAAACGTGGGTTTAGAGGTGGAGAGCGCATGAAGAGGTAGAGGAGGATGAGTGACAAATCTGTCCGTGTCAAAAAGTCTCTTAAATACATAAAAACACAATATAAACACACTATCTTGGACCGGATACAACAGAACAGTGCTACGTCCTCTGTTGTCTTGGCGGGGAATTGCTTTGCAACACTCCCCAGGAGACAGAGAAGTATGAGGGCAAATTGTCTTTGTCCATGCGTGCATGTCTCTCCCTCCTGGAGCTGACAGAGAAGTATAAATTAGGCTTTAGAAAGTTTTCTGGGGAAACCCTGCCATTATACATTAATGTGTTTGACAATGCTAGTCAAGGCTTTTTCAATTACCTCTGCTGCCTCAAAAAGAGCTAACCATCTCTCTTGTACCTCACTGATCATTGGAGCATCATAGATCACTTCTTGTCTTCTTAAGGCAAATGTTCTGCTCATTTTTTCTCTAATCATTTCTCTGTTGTTGCGCTCCTTTACATCAGAAAGCAGTTCGATCCTCAGCTTCTCAAGGGATTTCTCACTATCTCCGAGTGGAAAAGAGGGGCAGTAATCTACTTCACCTCTCTTTGGTTTCTTGACGTCAAAAGCAGGGGAACATTTCCCAGATGGTTTATTTTTCAAAGAATTGACACACACTTCAGTACATCCTACTTTCCGTAGCTGAGTGCGGTAGTTTGACAATTTGTAGTTTAGGCTCATCTTCCATCCTGCATAGCCACTGGGTGAGCCTCTTTCTTTTAAACATGGATGCTTCAGGATGAGTGCCTCTGCAACTAGGTCAAACTTTTCATCTGTGAGATAGACTGTGTGCTTGACTATCTCCTGGATCAATCCTTCCAGTATGTCAGACTTCAGCTTTGGATCAGGGATCAATAACATCCCGTTTTCTCTGAAAGCTACATGGGCCTTCCCAAGCTCAACTTCAGCATCATATGTGAAACGAGGAACACAGAACAAATCTGGCCATGAAGATCGTGATGACATAGACTCTGGAGATGACAGAATCACTGTGCTGTCACCTGAACTGGACGAGGTGTAATCAGGAGCACTAGTTGATGGAAATGAAAAGCTGTCTTCAGCTTGGTCTTGAGGTTGGCAAGATGTGTGAACAACTTTTATTGTTGTCTTGTTTTCTATTTCTTCCATAGAGTTTAAGTTCACAAACTCATTGCCGAAAAGCACATTCGTGAATTGTAGTCTGAATGTTTCAGTTATTTTACACTGAGTCTTTACTTCAGTCTCCAGTTCAGCAACAGTTGAAGGCAGACCAGCAGCAATCCTGACCCTCTGACTGCTGTCCGGTCCAAGGATGACGCTAAGAATGGCTTGAGTTGTCATGGTCGTACTTCACACTCTGTTGCAAAAGAATAAGAAAATGGAATTATGATCTGTTTAAAAAAAAACCTTCTTAATCCCCCAAATTTGATCTTATACCAGTGGTTCCCAAACTTATTTAGCCCTTCTATGTCCCGACCATGTCGACGCACCCCCCAGCCCCCACATCAGGGCATGGCTATGTATATATATATATATATATATATATATATATATATAGGGCTGCTTTGACATGGGCTTCATGCACTTCCTTATTTCGGAGGCTGAAAGTCCCTGACCTAACCTCATGCAACTGAATGTCTGAAGCTGGTGCTGTACAAAAACGACAAATGAAGGGACCTGTAAAGTTCTCAACAAAGCCTGCTAATCCATGTGCTCTCAAATTGTCAGCAACAACAGTCTGCACTGTGCCCTTCACAAATTTTTCCAGTTGTGGAATAAAAATGCCATCAACTTCCAAAGTTCTTAGGTCACGTAATAGGGGCCGTAAAACCTTATCATAACCAAACGACTTTACATTGTTTGTTGGGCACAAAATGGCCAAGAGGATTGAGGTTAAATTGGAATGAGACCCTGGGGGTAGGTTATTCAGAATCCAATAGACAGCGTAAAGTTTGTTAGTTTTGCGGGAAGTGCCCAAAGGGTTACAGACCTCAAAATCATCAACATACAAAGTAATTGATAAACTTAGGTCTTCACCTGACAACAACCCGTTTTCCTTATAATGCAGGCCATCTTTATAAGACTTGTACAAAATTTCTTTTCCGGCCTCTGTGTCTCTGTGTGTTTCGTGATCAGTAACAATCTTGTCCACAACATCCTTCCTACTCAGGAGCACTCCAAGGGATTCTAGGATTGGGATATACTGCAATGTTTTGTTCTCTTTTGGGTCTAATATATATTCAACTGGTTCCACAACATTAAAGTTAGCCTTGTAATATTGCTTTCGTTGATGTGTAGAACTCAAAGTGCCACCCTTCTCAATGGCCTTATTTAGAGGACTTGCAGAGCACAGAGAGGAAATTATCTCCTCTATTACACTTCTGTCAACTTGGAGCGCATACTTCTGAAAAATGTCCACTAGAACACTTTCAGTATATGGTTTTGAGAGACAATCGGTTAAGTGGTGAAGTTCTACCAAAAAATTATTGATTGCTTTGCTTGGTACAATGGAAAAATGTTCTAATTTTAACAAAGATGCAGCTAAACTCCACGTAATTCTATCTGGGGGGTCATTTGGAGCATCAGTACTGCTATCTTGTGGATCATGGTCATCAAAGTCACTGTCCAAATTAATAGCAGCAGATTGAAAATGGATGGATGGAAGTTTGCTTAATTTAAGGCTTGGGCACTCACCTGGTGTAACTCCACAGATTTTAACCAATATCAATAAAGTTATAAAAGAAATGCATACTGGGAAAAACAGCATCCAAACCCTCCGAATGTCTCAGGCCCTGTCCACACGTAGCCGGGGATCTGCCAAAACGTAGATATTTTTCTACGTTTTGGCCTGTCATCCACACGAAAACGGAGTTTTTTCACGCAAAAACTGATCTTTTTAAAAACTCCGGCCAAAGTGAAGATCTGCGTTTTCTCCGTTTTGGGTGTCTGCGCGTGGACAGACAAAACCGGAGTTTTAAGGTCCGCAACGTCACTTTCCGTGACAAAAAACTGCTGACATCACGTGTGCGACCTGTGTTTACACTAGCCGACAGCATGGATGCCCTCAGAGTTGCGCTCGCTTTATCAATTGTCCAAGCGCTTTCTGCTTGTTTGTTTTTGCAAGCGGAATTACTGCTCCTTGCGGAAGACCACAGACGAAGGACGAGGTTAAGAACGGGGGAAGTACTGCCGCCTACATGTCTGGCATGTCCTTAACAACGTATTTATCCGGGTACGTGTGGACAGAGTTTTTTTTTTTAAATGAGGTGGTGTGGATGCAAGTTTTTGGAGGGGCAGATATTCTTTTTTGAAAAAACCCAGCTACGTGTGGACTAGGCCACAGTCTTAGAAAACCTCATGGTTGTTGTTTCTCAGCTACGCCGAGCAGTGGTGCAGAACTGGTGTGAAGAACCTGTCCTGTTAGTCCTGCTCGTCTTTTAACGGGCAGAGTCCCAAATGACAAGAGCTGAGCTCTGCTCCTGGAAAGTTTCAGCTTCAGGTGGGAAACGGCAGAGCCAAGTGTGCTTCGGTGAATTGAGTGTGATGTGTGTGTTAACACACACACATGCAGAGTACAACAAACAGCAGTGTTTTAGGGTTTCTTCCAGAGGTTATTAAAAATGAAACCTGCAGAAGGTCTAAAGCTTCACTCTGCGTCTCTACTCTGCAAACATAGTGCTCACAGTAAACTGATGGACCACAGATGGACGTCTTTGTCTCGTGTCACATGACCGTTCATTTTTCAGGACCTCTATTGATTTTTCTCTTCTCTTTTCCTAATTAATACACCTTTATGTATTTCTTGTCAGGTGCATAAAACCCCATTGAGTTTATTTCACTGGCAGTGATATGGTTGTTTGCACTAGCCTGAATCCTCTCAGGTGCATAGTAATTGATTACAGTCTCTATTACGGATAGTGCCACAGATATTGATCGGAAGGCAGAGGTTGATTGTTTTATGTCTGAGTCTGCTGCCTGAGCTCATCTGGAATGAACCGGCCGGTAAACCGCAGAGGTGAAAGTTAATACAGCTATTTCAGGATTTACAGGTCTGTCCTAACCCTAACAAACCAAACACACGGATCGATGATTGTGTCTAATTTGTCTTTATATTTATTTAGATCTGTTTGTTGTAATTAACCAAAACACTTTTTAAAACTGTTTCTTACTGTTTTCAGGCTGTGTCAACAATGACAGACCTGCTGAGGGAAAATCTCAGGAACAGTAAACTGAAGCAGTTTGTGCTGCCGCCACTCGGGGAGTTCCTCTACCTCATCTCTTCTCAGGTATTACCAGTAAAAAGAGACATGACCAAGTGGGTTATTCTATTTCCATCCAATACAGAATAAAATATATTCTAAGAACATTTCATCAATAAAGAATCAGAATCATTTAAATCAATAGAGAGGGACTTGGACAGAAAGGGACAGCACCCACTTCCCAAAGTTTGGACGTCCTACAGAAGGTGGTGTGGTTCATGGGACTCAATATAGACATGATGTGCACGTCCATGAGACATTCACTGTTTGCAGGGTACACAGCGTCTCAGGCAGAAGTAAAGGATCTGTGATGCAGGCTGTAGGATTTCAGCATGGTTAACAAAACCACAGCTGCAGTGTAATGCATCATTTTGCTGACCCACCTACTTTATGAGAGTGTTTTACATTTCCTGGATCTGACCCTGCATAGTAAACACAAATGCCAGACCAGTTCGAAGCCTAAATAAATGAAAAATAAATACATTTCCACAATACTCTCCTTTTCCCAAAGGGGGCAAAGCTGTGCTGTAACCGTGAGGTGTGTAAATGAGCATCCCTGGAGCATGTACAGCAGCACCATTAACAGCATTGGGAAAACATTGTTTTAGTGAATATTTCACATAACTCATTCTATTCTCTACTAAATTAAATGTGTGGTTCACTCATTTCATCAATACTTCTGCAGTGGTAGAAGAAGCATGGTCCAGCGGACCTCAGATTCAGGAGGAGTACTGTGGCAGGGTATCTGCAGGTCCTTAAAAAGTCTTAAATTTGCTTTTCCAAATTTAAGGCCTTAAAAATCCTTAAAAATGACTAATAATCCTTAAATAGTTTCCAAAGGTCTTAAATTTCCAAAGACCCAATGAACAAGATAATGTTATTTCTTTAAAATTTTCGTGAATTTCTAGTTAGTTCAGCATTTTTGTGTATGATATTGGCATAAGCGGAACCGTACACATTCGGTTGGTTGTGAAAGGGGGCTATTTTTAGAGGAGCACGCTAGTGGGAGTTTGCGCCATGGGGAAGTGCAACATTAATGGTAACTGGATGGCTAATCCCACGTTCATGACGTGGTTCGCACCAGTTCCAGGCAATAGCTGGAAATTATAGCTTAAATTTAATTAAAAAGAAAAATAGCTTAAATTTGGTCAAAGTGTCCTTAAAAAAGGTCTTAAAAAGTCTTAAATTTGGCTCCCTTAAACCTGCAGATACCCTGTGTGGTTTTCGTCCTGGCCGTGGAACACTGGACCAGCTCTATTCACTTAGGGGGTCCTGGAGGAACAAGGAGATGGGTACCGGGCCCTCTAATAAGGGCTGATAGGTCTCTGTATGACCGGTGTCCGAGCTTGGTCCTCATTGCTGGCAGTAAGTCTGGCTCATTTCCGGTGAGAGTTGGACTCCTCCAAGCCTGTCCGTTGTCACCGTTTCTGTTCATAACCTTTATGGACAGGATTTAGGAGCAGCTGAGGTGTTGAGAGGATCTGTTTGGGTGGCCTGAAGATCAGGTCTGGGCTTTTTGCAGATGATGTGGTCCTGTTGGCTTCATCAGAACGAGATGTCCAGCTCTCATTGGAGCGGTTAACAGCCAAGTGTGAAGCAGCTGGGATGAGAATCAGCTCCTCTAAATCTGAGACCATGATCTTGAATCGGAAAAGGGTAGAATGCCTTCTCCGGGTCAGGGATGAGGTCCTGCCCCAAGTGGAGGAGTTTTAAGTATCTCGGGGTCTTGTTCCTGAGTGAGGGAAAACTGGAGCGTGAGATCGATAGGCGGATTGGTGCTGCATCTGCAGTGATGCGGGCGTTGTACCGATCTGTCATGGTGAAGAGAGAGCTGAGTCAGAAGGCAAAGCTCTCGATTTACCGGTCGATCTACGTTCCTACCCTCACCTATGGTGATGAACTTTAGGTAGTGACCGAAAGAGCAAGATCACGGATACAAGCGGCCGAAAAGAGTTTTTACCGCGGGGTGACTGGGCTCGCCCTTAGAGATAGGTGGAGTTGATGGAGCATCTGGGAGGGGCTCAGAGTAGACCTGCTGCTCCTCCACATCGAGAGGAGCCAGTTGAGGTGGCTTGGGCATCTGGTTAGGATGCCTCCTGGACGTCCAACCAGGAGAAGGCCTAAAGAAGATCCAGTACACGCTGGAGAGATGATAGCTGTTTTTACAAGACACACCAGGGTCTTGCAGGCATTCCCTCTCTCTGTCTGTAGTCCCTGCCTGCTTCAAAATGGCCACCATTGTCCCTGTACCCAAATCCTCCACCATCTCCTCATTGAATGACTGGCGACCTGTAGCCCTGACCCCCATCGTGAGCAAATGCTTCGAGAAGTTGGTCAGGGGCTTCATCTGCTCTGCACTGCCCGATTCACTGGACCCTCTACAGTTTGCATATCGCCACAACAGGTCCACTGATGATGCCATAGCCCTGACACTCCATGCTGCCCTGTCACACCTGGAGAAGAGGGACACGTATGTGAGAATGCTGTTTGTAGATTACAGCTCAGCATTCAACACCATTGTTCCCTCGAAGCTGGACAGGAAACTGCAGGATCTAGGACTGAGCAGCTCCCTCTGCAGCTGGATCCTTAACTTTCTGTCTGACAGATGCCAGGTGGTCAGACTGGGCAGCACCACCTCATCCCCCGTCACACTGAACACTGGTGCTCCACAGGGGTGTGCGCTGAGCCCTCTCCTGTACTCACTCTACACCCACGACTGCACGGCCACGAGAAACTCCAACATCATTGTGAAGTATGCGGACGACACCACAGTGGTGGGTCTCATCACCAACAACAATGAGACGGCCTACAGGGAGGAGATCAGCGCCCTGACCCACTGGTGTCAGGACAACCGTCTCACCCTCAACGTCACAAAGACAAAGGAGTTGATAATGGACTTCCGGAGGTGCAGAGGAATACACACCCCCATCACCATCAACGGCGACGCTGTGGAGAGGGTGAGCAGCTTCCGTTTCCTTGGAGTTTATCTGGCAGAGGATCTTATGTGGTCAGTGCACACGGAAAATACAGTGAAGAAGGCACAGCAGCACCTCTTCTTTCTCAGGAGACTGAAAAGATTTGGCATGAGCCGCCGCATCCTCAGGACCTTCTATCGCTGTGCCATTGAGAGCATCCTCACTGGATGCATCTCCACCTGGTATGGCAACAGCACCGCTTACAACCGCAAAGCTCTCCAGAGAGTAGGGCGGTGTGCAGAAAGGATTATTGGAGGTGAGCTTCCCTCCCTCCAGGACATCTATAAGAAGCGGTGCCTGAGGAAAACGGCGAGGATCATCAAGGACTCAAGTCACCCCAGCCATAAACTGTTCAGACTACTTCCATCAGGAAGGAGGTTCTGCAGCATCCGGTCCAGAACCATCAGACTGAGAGACAGATTTTTCCATCAGGCCATCAGACTGCTGAACACTTCGCAGACACCTCACCCTCACTACTGAAACTCCAACATTACACACTCCATACTGTACATTAATGCCACAGTTTTGCACATAACAGCCTCTGTACATTTTATATCTCTTATCTTATTGTTTACTTTATTCATTTGTAAAAATGTATATACACACTACACACACTCACACGCACACACGTAGAAAAAAAAATACTAGCACACACATACTACACATATTATTACTTAGATTAGCCATTTTTATATTTTGCTTGTTTTTACGTTACTGTATTTTTACAACTCTGTTGCTGTGAAGCTTGCACACAAGAATTTCACTCGCATGTACTGTACCAGTGTACCTGCACATGTGACGTGACAATAAAAGTGATTTGATTTGACCAAGCCAACCAATCGGCGTAATATTACTGCAACTGTGTATCTTGTAATTGTATCTTATGAATTTTTCAGCATTCGTTCCGCCTTGCTTGGTTGTCAAATTGCAGCAATGGTCTGTCTTATAAACGGCCATTGTACCATGGCGCAACAGAGAGGGGTGTCATGATATGTGGGGAGTTAATGCCGGGCTCTGGCCAGCAGTTATATTGAAAATGAAAGTAAACATGGGCAGTAAGTTTTGCTTTGTGAACAAAATCAACTGAGACTGCAAACCGAAGCGCCGCAGCGCTCCAGGAGCGTCTCTCTGCAAGAGCTGAAGCTCAGATCATCAGAGGCTGCACAGGGACTGATGGGGACGGACACCTTTAGGAGTGGCTTGTTACAAAAACTAGACTCGCGCCATTTAGACCTGCTTTCTTAAGAAAGAAAACCGTATTTTATAAAGCGTCTTTCTAGATAGAAATCACGAGGCGCTTGACAAAAACAACAAATTTTATGTATAAAAAGGATTTAGAAAAAATAATTTAAAAAATGTCTAAAATGAGGAAAAAACCATTTTTTTATTGTGATTAAAACTGTAAAAAAGGGAAAGAGAACATGATTTGTTAAGAGGGAAATCAGTGGATCCCGGAAAAGGCAGATTAGGTAGAAAGCGCAGGATAAGGAGAGTGTGGTGACGGAGCCAGCCTGAACAGGAGAGTTTTCAGCTCAGATGCAGTCTGAGGGTTAGGCCGTTGTCAGCACCAGTAACAGCCGTAAGTTTGGACGAAGATCGTCCAGTCTCTTGATGGACAGCAAATTGGATCCTTCGGCCTTTTTAGGTCTTTCACATTTTTGTTCCATTATCTCTCAGGATCATTTAGGGAAGTCCAAATGACTGTCTTACAGTCCATTACTGCATTTCAGCAGTAATGGCGTTGGGAGAGACCCTGTTTATGCAGCTCAACGACGTGATCATTATATGGCTCTGCCATCAGAACATCACGACAGTGTGACCTGCCTGACAGAAAATGACAATATTCCACATTTATGCACAGATTTGGCCTTTTAAAGGGATGTGGTCTTAGACATTTTATCAGCTGCTGTTTCTCTTTAAAGTCTAATTTATACTTCTTCGTTAGCTCAATTGCAGAGTTGAACACACACACTGATGGAGACCTTTTCCCTTTGAACTTCTCTGTTGCCAGGGGAGTGTTGCAAAACAGTTCCCCGCCAGGACAACTGAGGG